GCCCTCTACAGCTAAGATGGTGAACAACAGCTCGACCTGGAGCTGGGCTGCCGTGAGTGGCCAGTCACGGTGTAGACTGCAGCCCCTGCTGCACTGGGCTGCCGTGAGCAACTGTGAGTGGCTGGCAGCCAGCATGAACTGCCATGAGCCGCCTTGAACGGCGTCCAATGGCCGGCAAGCGACTGCCTCACCCGGGAAGAGCGCAATGATAATACCAACATAGGCCAGTGAAGCGATGTCCTCTGCAACTAGACTGAAGAACAAAAGGACAACAACTTGTCTGTTCCTCTTCCCTGATTCCCCAAAGCTGTTCACCTCCCCAACACTGTTCCCCTCCTCCAATTCCCCAATAAAATCTTAGAAAAAAAAATAGGCAGAGGCATGCCCTTCTTCTCTTCCTTTCCTGCTCACTGGACTGAGACACCCTAACGACCCAAATTAGAGCAGCCACTTCAGACCTAGAAACTGAGGCCACAGGCAGCAGGGCAAGAAGGTAGAAGAGCCTGGTCCTGACACTGCAGAGTACAGGGCCAGCCCGGAGCCACATACTTCTGGACTTTAACGTCAGAAGGAGTTAAGCTAATATTTGTTTAAAGCAGGGGTGGGTCAGCCGTTTCTGTAAAAGGCTAGAGAGTAAATATGGAAGTTTTGAGGGCCCTATGGGCCCTGTTACAGCCACTCAACACTGCTCTTGTAGGGTGACATCAGCCACAGACAACAGATAAATGAATGTCACCATGTTCCAGTAAAACTTTTTACTGGACACTAACATCTACATTTCATTTTCAAGTCAGAAGATATTAGCCTCCTTTTGATTTTTTTCAACCATTTAAAAATATAAAATGACTGTTAGCTTGAGGGCTGCACAGATGGTAGCCAGATTTGGCCCAAGGCCCATAGTTTGTTGCTCACTGGCTTAAACCAATGTATTTCGAATTTGTTTCTTTATATTGAACCTATACCCAACCAACACACTAGTACACCACCAGGCAGATAGCAGGTGCTCAGAAACGCTTGTGGAATGAAGAAGTGATATCCACTACCTGACATAAACAACAGAATTTGCTGGAGCACAGGGGAGACATTGCACCCTGACCGAGGCATGGGTGAGGCTGTGCTAAAGAAGGTGGTACTAGAGCTGAACCTTGAAGAACAGGGTATTTGGCTGTGGCAAGGGTGGGTGGCAAGCCGATGAAAGTTCAGTGTGTGCAAATGCCCTCTGAGTGCCTGCAGGTAACACCCAATGACCAGAACACTGGATGTGTGTGAGCACAGCCTTGTCCATGGAGAGGACGTACCAGGCGACCAAGGAATCTGGCTTACCCGCGAAGTCATAAGGGGTCCAGTAAAGGATTTTATGCTAAGGAGTGACATGACTACATTTTCAATTTTAAAAAGATCTCTTTGGCAACAGTGTGGACAGACTGGAAGTCGGTAAGCCTGGAGGCAGGAGGTCAGCCCAAACACCACCTTCACCATGGAGATGGGCCTCATCTTCCTGGCCGAATGAACTGTTTCTGCATCTGTGCTTTGCATGTACAGTGTTTCAAACAACATTATCCTAGAAAATAATGTTTTCTACCTGTTTTCATGTCTGTCTGCTTTAAACTACACGCTTCCTGCAAACAGAAGCTATGCTGTGTTTGTCTCTGCATGCCCCCAGCACAGCTAGCTCAGGAATCTGCTCACAGGTAACTTATTGAACAAATGCATCAGGCCCTAGGTGATTCGGGAACGTACCAGATCCACAGCCCAAATGAAAGTAGGTCATTTAAAGGAATAGTTTATGACGCTAAAGGTAACAAAGACCACACCGCAAACTGCCACACGCGTGGGTGAGGCTGTTGTGGCGACACTGTTCCCACCGAGGCCTGGGAGGGCCTGCTGGCAGCAGCTTGGCTGCGCCAGCAGCTCACCGGCATGGGGATCTTGGAGAGCTCCTTCCCAATGCAGTTCTTCATGATGCTCCATAAATTGAGGCTGTAGTTCGGCTTGTACGGGATTCTAGTTCTCTTTTCCTTCTTGGTCTCTTCCAGCTGATGCTTGTACTGAGAACAAAAACAAGGCCACTCAATCTCCCACAGAGGACAGAAAAACTGGTATGTATAACCTCCCCTTCTCCCATACTTAAAAAAACAAAAACCAGTATTTTCTGTTTCTCTTAGCGCTTTACTAGCAAATCCTTGGGAGTCACACCCCAAGTCCCTCACTCCTGATAACTCCCTAATAAGAATCACCTGTTCATCAAGGCTGATGTCACTGCTGGCTCCACTGATGTTGCTGCCAGTACGTCTACACGGATGGAAATCACGAGAATTAGAACACGGCTCAGAACTAGAGTGTGGTCCCTGCCATGTCTATACAAAGCAGAATGCTAAGCACACTCCACAAACTTATTAATTGGTGATCAAATGACACCTCAAATATGTGTGCATTTAAACATCTCTGGACAACTTGTTTGGGTAAAGCTAACAGTTATGCACTTACTTAAGGGGAAGAGCCCAGATCTCAGTAAACATTGACAACTATAATACTCCCACTGAAACATTTCTGTTGATGGTCAGATACATTCATTTTTCTCGGGAGTCAAGGATAACTTACTTGTGGCCCAAATTTTCAGGCATGGTGATAATCTCAGGAGCATCAAAAAATTCATTCTCATCATCCTCATCACTCATGTCTCCCTTGCCAGGGCAGCACTGATCTACAAGGAGAAAAGCCTCACTCATTACCTCTGGCTGTATTTACCAAAACCTGGCACAGCAGGGTCTTTTCGGTCCTAATCACAAACATAACTACAAATGGTAGAAAGCAGCAGAGGAGCTGGAAGAAATAAGCGGCTCCAGTCGCACTTCCCCTGAGTCACTGACTCTGGAGAATCTGGAGTTCTGTCTGCTGCAGAAAACCACCTGGCTCCTATTGGAACAGGCGACCCCGAGGTCATGCCTTACCTTTGCCAGAACCTGTGCTGCCAGGTGTGTTTGCCGGCAGCACCGTGGCTCCTCGGAAGGCCCTCTCCAGGTGATTATGCTGCTTTGCCAGCTGCTCCAAGGTTTCTTCCAGCCGGATACGCTGGTCTCTCTCATACTGTAGCGACTTCTGCCATTTTTTACTATGGGTCTGGGCTAACATGAGGAAATCTCTGCAGGCCTGTATGGGTAAAGAGTTAATATGTGTCACATCAGCTCACCTAGTGAGAGATACCCCTCAGGCCCATTAAGTAACTTTATTCTGGGAACTCTCAACAAGCAGATCACAATAAATGAAAGACTTTCCCTGTTATTCCACAGAATCAGGGACAGCCAGCTCTGTGATGCAATCAAGGTCAATGCTAGAAAAAAAAATAAGCATGGTTGTCACGCTTCTTTTATATTATTCCTGGTCATGAGGACCAAACAAATGCCAAGTGAGCAGTAAACCTAGACAAAGTATTTGTGGCAACATCACAAAGGGGAGCTGTGCAAACTGCACCAAAAGGAAAAAAAAAATCTACCGATTGAGAGATGAGGAAAAGCATAGGGTAACTGCTTTCAAAAAATTCTTAACTAAACTCAAGTCACCTAAAGCTGAGGAATTTGGACACTGAGAACAGAGGATCTGCACTGAATTAGACCAAATGTGAGGACACTTAATTTGTTATTTTAGTCACTAAGAGAAACACCTGACCTTAAAAATTAGAAGCCTACCTGAAGAATCAAAGAAGGGCTCTGGAGACAAAACACCAATCTGATCACAGCAGTCCCTTCCCTGGCACCCGCTGCTACTGGGACCAAATCCTAACTACTGCTTATGAACAGTACAAGCCCTCCACAGTCAGGCCACCACCTACCTGCATGCTCCTCCCCAGGCAGCAGCACCTGCTCCTGCACCTTCCTGCGGGGCCACACTGAACCGTCACCATTTCGTGGACAGGCTTCTTTCAGGCCTGCCTAGCCATAGCATACACTATCCGCTCTGCCTTGAATGCCCTTTCCCACCCCTTTTCTCTACTTGGCTGGTCCTCTTCATTCTTTACGATCTATGGCAAACATTACTTCTTCTATGACACTTCCCCCAGTCTCCTAAGCAGCCAGTCTCTTCTCTACATTTCCACAGCACTTGGCACTTCTGTCTATTTTACACCAGCCACGGTGGTATCGTGGCTGAGTTTCTCTTTCCAGATGGATCACAAGCAACCAGAAGACACAGTTGACAGTTCATTCATATGCGTATCTCCAGCTCTTAACTTAGGGGCTTTGTACAGATTAGGAGCCTGATAAAGTTTGCTTAATAAGTCAACAAAGGAAGCAATGTAATCTTAAAATTCAATGCTAAAAAGAAACTATTATAAAGAAACTAAAGGTAAATAAAATATCTACTCCTAAGGTTTCAACAATTGCCTGTAGGCCAATGACTACGAAATCAGCAATCCCAGCTCTGGGCTCATGGAGCTTCAGACCAAAATAGCCTATTGCCTATTTAGTGGCTCAGAGGAATCTCAAAATCAGTGGGTCGCAACTGAACTCACTGTGTTCCCTTTCTGTCTTTGCTTCTCCTTTGGTGTTCTCCGTGCCACCTGCCACCTGCCCAAGCCAGAACACTAACAGGTATCCTCGATTCCTAGTTTTTATTCCCTCCCCACATCCAATTATGAAGTTCTATTGATTCTTCTAACATTTCTGGAATCTGCACACTTCTTTTCATCCTTCACACTCAGGGGCAGTACAGAGTACAGGCATACCCTGCAGTTGGGATTACTGAGGCTCTAATCACAGCTCCATCCCACTATCTAGCTATGGAATTCTGGGCAAGTGATACAACCTCTCTGTGCTTCATATTCCTCATCTGTAAACAAAGAATCACAATAATAACTACCTCAGAGTTGCTACTTTACATGTAAAGCATTTAGAACCATATGGGCTCACAGTAAGCTTTCAATGAGGTGTTAGCTATTACAATATATTAAGCCTGCATCCAAATCGGTCATGTCCTCTCTTCATCTACTACTCCCAAGCCCATTTAATGTGATCTGCACCCCATTCCCTCCCCACACTTAGTTCCTGTCCAGCGTCATCTCTAGCTACTACCTTGCTCTAATAATTCATAGTCAATTACCAGCAGTTCTCAGACTTTAGGAGAGGGGGAGATCTGTATAATGCCTCACCTCCACCTAGATCAACTCTTCTCCCTCACTCCCTTTTTTTTTTTTTTTTTTTTTTTTTTTAAGCTGAGCCATCCTGCTACCTGGTGGCAGCTCAACGGCTGCTCAGCGGCTGCTCAGCTCGGACTGGACTCGAACCGCTGTTGCTCAGAGCTCAAACTCTTGAGCGAGCTCTTAACCAACTGAGCCACTCGGCCGGCCCCCTCACTCCCTTTTAATGATGTTGATCATAACTAAAATTTAGTGAGCAACAATTGTATATCAGGTACTTGGCTGAACGCTTTACATTAATTATCTAATAAAAGCCTTTCAATAACCTTGTGAGTGGCTACTAGTATCATCTCCATTCACAGAAAAGGAATTGAGGTCACAGAGGAAGTAGGCTGCCCAGGTTATACAGTTGTTAACCCAGTTGGACTTCAGGGCCCCAAGCTCTGTGTTGCCTTTTTTCATGGGGAGACTGTCTCTGGTCTTTCAGAATTTAGTTGAGGTGGTGCCTTCTCTAATTCTCCTCTGAGCCAGCCGCCTCCAATGTGCTATCCCACAGCAGCCTGAGCTCATTTCCTCACACACTCAGCACACTCCATAAAGACCTGGCTACTTCTCTGTCCCCTCTTTAGAGAGTTATCTCCCCAAGGGCAGGGACAATGTCCATGTTTGTTTTATATCCCCTAGCACAGTTCCTATGACACAGAAGGGGCTCAACAGACATTCACGAATGGATACTCTGTCAAATTTACTCCCCTGGTGAGCTCCACTTTGATAGTAAGAAAAGCTGTATCCTAAGCAGTCAAGAAATGGAGTGACCTGTGTTCTTCATTTGACATAACTGCCCCTTTACAGATGTGACACGCTAGCACGTTAATTTCTAACATGCATATTACATTTAAGGCCTCGCCATCATCACCTAAAAGGTATAAAGGAAACAAGGCAGGGAGAAAAAACACATTTTAAGCAACAGCCAGCTATGAAAGGGGTACGAGTAGAGCACCAGGAGAGAACAGAATGAGAAAGCTCTCCTCTGACTCCCAAGAAATCACTCCCTTTGACTGAACTCTGGACACTTGACAATTAGGGAAGAATTGCCCCGAGGAAGGAGGAGGAGCATATTTTCAAGAGTAAAATCCAAACGAAAGCTTCAGTTTTATGAGAAATTTTTCAATCAAGAGGTGTTTTATTTGGCAAAATTTTCACATCAAGAGTAGAAAAAAATCGTCACGGAGCAGGGTATGCTCACCTGACAGGGATAAAAGGCAACGTCCGCTGCCAGGAGGCGGCTGTGTCCTGAGTTGTTCTATATAACAAGTATACTTATTCAGTATTGGTTAATGGAGCTGTAAGATTTATGAGGTTTCCCTGATCACAAGAGGACCAGAAAAGCGGGCACACAGTCACTGAGAAGGGCGGCAGTTTGGAAAAAGAGCACACGACCAGACGTCGGAAACACAGCATCAGTGCTGATGAACAGAAGCGTCCTGAAGACAGTAGATCTCCCTGAAGTGGACAAAATAATTTGCCTTTTCTACCTCGTGTGAATCAGAGCACTGAAGAAAATCTTCCGCACCTCAGAAAATGGTATGAAATAAAGGTTATCACAACTCTCTATTAAGTAACAAAGGGGTTTCAAATGAGAATTGTCTCGTATGCACAGGGAAAAACCTTTGCTCTCTAGGAGCCACGTGAGCCAAACCAGTTCCAAGCAAATGTCTTATTATCACTTGCCCAACAAGGGAAAATCTGGCCCTAGTGAAGTAATTTCATCCAGTTTAATAAGATAGAAAAAAATCCCTGCTTAAGCCGTCTCTCACAGGGTACTCTTCTCATTTGCATTATGTAACGTCTTCATGTTCTCATGTGGAAGTTACTAAAACAACCTGCCAGGTGAGATTCAGTCACCAGTGGAGGAAAAACAGCATTGTTTAAACCGTGTATTCATTTCATACCAATCACCCAGTATCTGCGATACATCACTAATGCCAGTGGCGCTTTGGCTTTACTTAGAGCCTTGCACCCAAGCAGCAGAAGTACTCCACAGACCAGTAACAGCCGCCGATATAGCAGTGACAAGGAGGCAGAGAAAGAAGGGTTGGCCCCTTCTTTTTAAGCGGACGTACCCAAAGCCGAACATTCTGTATCACCCAAAATTACCCCTGAGATCAAGGACTAAAGATAAGACTAATGAGTATAAGGTTCTCACTAGTATTTGATCCAGCCTGTAGGCCAGAATACATCAGCAACATTAAGGATAAGACTCCAACTTAAGGCTCCATGAAGATGACAATGGAAAGGACCCATGAGATCTTTTTGTTCCAACAGATAAAGTTAGCTCAAAATCAATCAGTCAGTCAATCAATCAATCAATCAATCAATCAATCTGCAACCCAGAGAGCTTAAGGGATGCAATCCCTGTCCCCATCAGATGCCCCGGTTGCGGAAGCAGGGCCGGAGCTCTGGGCTGCTAACTAATGGCCAGGCTGGAGCAGTGAGCTCCTGACCAGCTGAGCAGAGCATGGAAGTCGCTCCATCTAAGCACCCCCCTCCCTGTTCTAGTCAACAAACAATGTAACTGAAATCCCTTGAGCAGTGAAGCGGACCTAACATTCTGCCTTTCGGGATAGTTACATTCAAAGAGGGAAAGACTCAGGGAGCAACACAGGCACCATGTGGCTTACATTGATCATGGCGTTGGATGTGATCCTAAAGAGCGTGGCCCGCTCATTGACCTGCTTGATCTTCTCGTTGCTCTCGGCAGGCAGCCTCAGGGACTCCAGCTCGCTGAGGGAGCGCTGCAGCGCGGTGCCGTGCTTGGCTATCAGGTCGTTGCACGTGCTCAGGTCCTCCACTTTGCTGGACAGGGTCCGGAGGGTGTTCTGCAGCTCCGTCTTGTCAGTTTGTGAGACAGACTCTTCATCTCCTGACTCATCTGCAGAAGCAGGTTAGTCACGTGACTCCAGGCCCAGGAGTGAGAGTCTGAACCCCACCAATTCTGCCCGCACCCAAACTGCCACTCCTCACACACTGTGCATTCTGACTGACCGTCGGCTCACATTTACCAGACGACTTTTCTACAGTGCGGTCCACAGCCCACCCGCATCACAAACACCAGAGAACAGGTGCAGTCTCCGGCCCCACCCCCAGAGACTCTAATTTGGCCGGTGTGAGGAAGGCCCAGGAATCTGTATCCGAGTAAGCTGCCCAGGCAATCGTGATGCACACTGAAGTTTGAGAAGCAAAGGCCTAGTGGACAGGATGGAAAAGCTAGCTGGCTCTTGGGGCTGGGAATGAATTATCGAGCCTTTTAACTTTACCTTCAGGGTTCCAAACCAGTCCAAGCTGATTATTACTGCAAATCCATTATCACTTGTTGGGTGACTGGTGGGCCCTATGAGGGATAGGCTGAGAAGCATAGCCCAACATCACCAAAAGGTTCATTAAGTTATCTTTTCTGAAGGAGGGCTCAGGAACTTGGGGATGAGCTCAGTTGACACTAAGGCCACCACTACACTGAAAGCAATGCAAGGTCTTCTGTTAAACGACTCTCTGATAATCAGTCAAGTAGACAGCTATGCTGTACCTCACTATCAGTTTTGTATGTAATGCTTTGGTAGCTGCAAAGTGCTTTTTCAGCAGTGTCACCTCCTTTGGGGGAGCTAACATCAACACTAACATCAAAACAAAAGAAATACGGAAAGACCTGCCCCATCTGCTACACAGACAGGCAGGGCCAAAGTGAAATATAACCTGTTACAAACAAATTTAAAAGCAGTGAATTTTCCTTTCACGGCTTAACAGATATTAAATAGAGTACAGGAAATGACAGGAGATAAGGCAAACAACAGATGAACAAAAGTCAGCAAGGGACCATCTTGCTCAGCTCTACGTAAACAAGCTCAGTATGATTAAACTATCAACATCTGGGGGAATCCTACTATTTTCCTTGAAGAAAAATCAAAATATAATTATTGGGTTGTCGGAAAAGTCATGACGTATTTTTTCTATGTTTTCTGTTGCAAAAATGCGTCATGACTTTTCCGACAACCCAATAGATTTCTTTTTTTAGTGAAACTAAGGCAGCAAAGTGATGCTTTTTCATAGAAAACATCACATATGATGTTTCTGACAGTCTACAAAGATTGTTTGTTTCAACTCAACTAACAAATAGTTAAGAAGATGTCAAAAGAAAAGAAAAAACGAAGGATAGATCCAAATTGTGAGTTGTAATAAACCCAAAACTGACCTAGCAATAAAATAATCATTTCTCAAAATTCTAAGTCAATTGGCATTAAAAGCCAAAAGGACAACGGTTTATGACTGTAGGACAGTTTCTCAGCTGCAGCACTACTGCCGTTTTGGGCCACACAACTGCTGTGGGCGGCTGTCCTCTGCTGTGGAGGCTGCTGAACCTACAGCCTCCCTGGCCTCTACTCGCCACACGCCAGCAGCACCACCAACCCTCTGTTGTGACAAGGAGAATGTCTCCAGACGTTGCCAAATGTCCCCTGCAGGGCAGAACCGCCCTTGCTTGAAAAGCACCCCTTCATGAGCAATACTGCAAGCCTGAGACTTCTCGGAGATAGTCAGTAATTAAATGGCAATAAGGCATAAAATAAGATTTGTGCATAAGAGGAGCAAATGGAAAGTTTCCCGGACATAGTGTTCTGTGCTCCCTACCCGATTCTGCCAGCATCTTCACAGCCTTGGCCTTGGCCAATTCCAGGGCTGTCACCCAGCGCTGCCGCTCCACTTCCGAGCTAGCCTTCAGGTGGTAGGTCTGTGTACCCCCGTTGGTAAGGACGAAGTTGCAGGTATCCTCCACGGTGATGGTGGCTGTGGCAAGGTTGATGGTACCACGGCAGGTATGTCTCATTTCTGCCTTTGACCTGCAACAACGAGACAGACACACTAAGTAGAAAGCTGATGGGTGCTTTATCCTTGATTGCATTCCACTATTCCATTACTTTCCATAACTCTAAAGCTTTTTGGGATAAGCAAGTTCTAATATTTCCCTCAAATGGGTCCCTAAAATTCAAGAAACAATCGGTGGGGATTTCGTTTCAGACCCTAAGTGTTGTTTCTGAGTCCAATTTTATTGCTCTGCTGTTCCTCTCACCCTTAGCTTTTTTTTTTTTTTCCAAAGATTTTTATTGGGGAATTGGGGGATGGGAACAGTGCTGGGGAATTGGGGGAAGGGGAACAGACAAGCTGCTGTTGTTTTGCTCCTCAGTCTAGTTGTGGAGGACGTCGCCTCACTGGCCCAAGTTGGCACCATCATTGCGCTCTTCCCGGGTGAGGCAGATCAGTCACCGGCTTCTGGACAGCTGCTCACTGTGGCTACTGGCCGCTCACGCTGGCTGCTGGCTACACACGGTAGCCCACGGCAACCCAGCTACACACGGTAGCCCACGGCAACCCACTGCCACAGGGGCTGCAGCCTATGCCGTCGGCGGCGACTTAGGGCAGCCCAGCTCCAGGTTGAGCTGTTGTTCAGCATCCTAGCTGCGGAGGGCAGTGTCACTGGCCCTCATATGTGGGATCCGAACCGGGGCCCTCTGGTGTCCCAAGCAAGTTCCCAACCATCGCACCACTCAGCCGGCCCTCACACTTAGCTTTTTAAAGAGAGACTTCACTGAAGTATAACTACATGCAATATAAATTCAGCAATTTTAAGTGTAAGACTCAGTGAGTTTTGACACATGTATATAATTGTATAACTACAGTCACAATCAAGAAGTAGACCATTTCCATCACCCCAAAAAGTCCCCTCGTGCCCTTTCACAGTCAGGGATTACTTTTTGTTTAGTAAGTTATAATTATAATCTAGTGCTTTTATACAGTCATGCGACAAATTTTCGTATAACAATCTCCTTCCCTAAGAGAAAGAATAGCTAGCTCCATTTCACATATACTGAATAGACCCCCCTCCCCAACTGTAAGCCAGCTCAAATGAGAACTGTCACACTATGGTTAGAATTGTACTGCAGAAGTGTGCAGCACACTTAGATGTTTACAGTATTAAATATTGACTACAGCTCAAATGATACGAAATAGGAATACGTAACTAGCTTTCTGTGGGAGTAAAGAAAGACTAACCATGAAAGAATCATCAGGTGGTATAATCTTTCGGGAATATGTTCTTTCCCAAGGTCCACTTACCTCTATTGGTGGGAACTCCTAAGCCCTCTATTAATAGCTAGGAAAGATTCAGCAAATCTGTTCTCAGAGAGGACTGGGTGTAAAAATTTTCCCCATCTCTACTGACTGACAGTTCTATTAATAGACTAACTTTTGAACTTTACAGCACAACTTGGTGACAACAAGCTGCAAGAGACTTCACATAAAATAGCAAGCTGCTAGCACAACGGAGTCTACAGTGCAAACTGTGCTTCATTTCTCCACCACCTGCTGGCTATGCTCAGGGACCTGCCTGTTGAGACAGCAGTTTTCCCTGACCAACTTGGAACGTAAAGAGGTCAAAGTCCTTTGCCAACTGCCACAGTGCAAAGCAGAGTCACTTCCCTTTCACCGAGCCGAGCGGCCAAACACACCTGGCACATCCAGAATTCCTGCATGCCAGGAATGACACACATCCCATCTCCAGAAATTAAAATTTGGTATGTTTGAGAAGGTTGGTTGACTGTGCTTAGGAAGACAGGTTTGCTATTGTTCAGTTTGTCACATGACACTGGTTTTTCTTCCTCAAATGCACAAATGAGCAGTACGGGATGGCCAGGAGGGGTCTCAATGGACTGGGCCATTTCCATCCCTTGCACCTGCCACACTGTAACGTGAATCCCTGTTTTTTTCTATTCTTACCTCCCCTCCCCCACCCCAAGCTTCAGTTACATTATACATAATGCAGGCTGAATTACAGACCCATGGCTGACAGGCCACTCACCCTTGTGTTCTACTCCAAAGGTGCTACTTGGGCCTTCTACCACATTCCTCACAATGTGCCGGTACTTTTCACATATCACCTCCCAGGAAATCTCCTCTGCCTGGTCATCTTCATGAACTAAAGAGGTTTCTCTTTATGACATAAAGTCTGTAGCAGTTTAAAAAATACCAAGGAACCCTGCCTGGGAGTAAAGCAGGCTTGACCTCGGAGCTCTTTGGTTTGGGCAAAATACACCGATGGTTATAAGTGATTAGTACAGAAGCTGGAAAAGGTGATTTTTCAGGATGCAAGGTAAGTTCTTCAGGCGTGGCAGTATTAGGTGGTACTTTCTGGCTAGAAATGTCTTCCCTGAAAAGGCCAGCCGAAACAGTAACTCAATCTCTAGAAGCTAGCCAGGGAAGCCAATACCATGGGCCTGTTACGATGTGTCTGCGAGAGCTGGGATTCTACATATGGTCCTAAGTAAGTGGACATCTGTGTAACTGGGTATGTAAGGAAGAACAGGGTGTGTAAAAAGAGGGAAGTGGAGTTGCCAAAGCCACTCGGAAAGAGGATGGGTCTCGGAAGTACGTGATCCCAGTTACCAAGAAAACAGTGTTTTGTAAAAGGCATATATAGGAAACGACAGGTTTTGGAGGCATGCCTAACAGGACAAATGACAAGTTGGCTAAATAACTCTAGGGAGATGGGGACCCGAAGAACTCTATTACAAGAATAAACTACTACCATAGTTGGTCGGAGGCACTTTACTGTGATTTTGAGAGTAATACATAGATTTGATAACTCTGGATCCTGTCGCTTGGTTTGTGGGTGGGACTAGGCAAGGACAGGTCTACGGCGTATTTCCCAGCATGTGGTTTTGGTAGGTTTTGGAAGGAGTTTTATCTGTAGTCAGTTAGATACCACTAGCTCTTGGAAGAGAGAAGTCAAAAGTGGTTACAAGTACTTGAAGAGACAACATATTAGTTATTAATGCCTAGTGAAGATAATATTGATCAAGACTGGTTGGTCCTGATCAAACAATCAACTAGCCTGGAGAGTGGATCTGATAAAAACTTGGATGAGGAAAAATGATCACACAGTAAGGCCTTCGGCTGATACACAACTTTGAAAATGGGGAATTAGTATCAACAGTGACTTACAAGTCAAGTTAGGATATGAACCAACTGAACATTAGAATGATGGTCGATGTAACAGGGAAACATAAACCTGAGTAGGGGAAAAGCTTTGGAGCAAACTGAAATTTTAGATTTGTAATCTTAAAGTCCTGGATAAGTAATCAGAAGGCGTTAAAATTAAAATTAATTCTTAATATAATAATGCAAATGATATATGCACAGCTGTTCACAATTAATGTTGCTTAAGCAGTGAGGATGCACTAAGGCATTTCCCAGGTTCCTACTTCAACAACCTGCAACCCCCATCTTCAATTTCCCCTCAAAACTCTCTAATAAGAGTCAGTGCAAAGGAACTGATCAAAGAGGTATTTGTTCACTCTAACTCTCCTGGTGGCAGAGTGACGACTGGCAGAGGAAAAGAAACATAGAGTGAGCTGCTCTGAATAACTGTTTTGGGTCCCACATAGGATGGTCTTTATATAGATTTCTGTTAGAAATGCTATTATAATAGGCAGTCTCCTTTGAAGGAGACTTTTATACAACTTGTATAAAGTAAACAGAGTAACCAGGATCTACAAACTTAGTTGCTATTGGTAAGTAATTATCTCTGTATCTGATTCATGTAACACTAACCTGGGTTTTAGGTTATGTTGGTGTGAACAGAACTAGTTTCAAATCCTGACTCCTCAAGACACTGGGCATGTTGCCCAAGCTGTCTCAGTTTCCTCATCAGTAAGATGGGAATATCTCCTAACTCCCAGGATTGTTGGGACTCAACAAAATACTGTATGTAAAACACCGATCCAAACTGTTCAGGCCTCAGAAAATGTTTATGTCCCGTCCCCAAATCCGGTATCTTTAAGCCCTCTAGCTATACTAACACAAGTAGCCAAAAGCATGTTCGCTTATGGCAAGATTGTGAGATACCATAAGTATACATTCAACATTCCAAAACACACACTGTTGAACAGAAGTAATCATACCAAAGACATGGATTCTTCTTTTAATAAAACTGAAACCTAACCAACCAGAGACCCCAGAAATGCTGGATAGAACACTTAATCATCCCCATAGGAGGAGGTGAGGCAAGCAAAAATAGAAGCAGCACTGGAGTGCACATCTCCCCTCTGAGCTGTCTAGAAGGGAGGTACGGGCAAGACTTGGAGAGATAAGGCAGACGGGACAGATACCGAGGCCACCCGGTGCACAGTGTCCTGGTGCCTGAATGTGGAGCGAGCAAAGGCGGGTACATCAAGGGCTGCTAATAACCTTGAAATCTGGAGGCTGGGCACAGTCCAGCCTTGGGACTCTTGCTGTAAGTTCATTGGGAGCAGTGCCTGGGCTTTGTGCTCCCATGTGTGCCCCTTTGGTCCCTACAAGCGCCTTTCTTGCAGAATTAACCATTGCACCGATATGCTGGTGGACACTTATTGGAAGACGAGATGCTCTTCAAACGACTGGAAAGGCCAAGGGACCGAAAGGGAAGATATGGCACCAAGAGTGGGCAACCCAGGTGGAGGGGTAAGTCCTGGGGCATTCACTCGCAATGGTGGGCTCGTGTCGCGGCTGTCAATGCGCGCAGGTGACGAAAAAGGGCCTGGGGCGACCTTGGCTGTGGTGCCGGCTGGTGAGGGTGACGGCGCGGGGACTGTGGGCTACAGTGGGAGACCGCGCCCCGGAAGCAGTTACCTGTAGTAGCTCAGGAGCCCGTTGCTCAGCACAAACCACCGCCGCTGGTAGCCTTTGATATAATTGGTCCATTTGAAGAGCCAGCCCTCTCGAGCCGAGCCCGAACTCCCAGTTCCTGAGCCGCCGGAGCCCCCCGCCGGCGGCGCAGGGGCTGGGCCCGCCGCCGCCACTCCCCCGGCCCCAGGACCCGTGCCGCCCGCAGCCGCCGCGGCCACGGTGCCCGGCGCGGCCCCGGAGCCTGGCCCCGAGTCTCCGCGGCCGCCGCCGCCTCCTCCCAGCACGGGGGGACCGGTGCCGCCGCCGCCCGGAGCAGCAATGGCTGCCGGGCCCGGCCCCACCACTCCTCTCAGCTCTGTCGCCGCCATGAGCCGCCGCCGTCCGGAGATACTGGACCGGAACCGCCTACGAGAGCCGGCGTCGCCGCCCGAAGCGCCCCACAAGGCTAGCGCATCAGTCGCCGCCGCGCAGCGTCCCCGCCCCGCCAGGCCGTGGGGAGGAGGGCTCGGTTCCGGAAAGGAGGAAGTCGATTGGTGCCGCTGAGTGTCACTTGCAAAAGATCCCTAGGACATTGGCATTTCTCTGGGGCCTGTCATTCCTCACCGTCCAGTGAGAGCCCGGGGTGGGATGCGTCCGCCAGGTACGCCGTTGATTGGTTCAAATGAAAGCCAATCAGATTCATGTAAAGCTCATTGGTGCTTTCCCGAAGGCTCCAGAATTCTGGGAGGACTCGAGAATGTAGACGGCCTGGCCAATACGATCGTCGATTGGCTAGTGCTTCCGCCAATCATTTTAGTTTGCTGCCGTCACCGCCACGTCACCCCCTCCCATCATTCTTCTCAGCGTCCTTCTTCCGCCCTTACCGATTGGTGGTGATTATCAGCTGCTCAACCTTTTCTACCACTGACTGAACGAGTTGAGGCAAAAAGGGAGGAGTCTTGTTGAGGCAAAAAGGGAGGCGTCTTGTCACATCGTGAAAGCGGTAATGCTGACCAATGAAAAATAAGCCTTCTGGGAGGGTCAGGCCGGGGCAGCCAATAAAATCCGGGATGAGCGCTTGGGGGGCGTGCCCGCCTACTTCTAGTTTTGGGGAAATTGGGAGATAAAAGCGAGGCTGTTTCGCAGAAGCGCTCTTGATGTAGTTTTGTTGTCCCTCTTTCTGAGTTAAGACCTCCGTAGTTTCCTTAGGAAGAGTGATTCTCAGCAGTCAAGCTCTGCTTGATTCTGCCCCTGCTAGGGCACCCCTTTAGCCGCTGGCTCCGAGCTGGAGGCCCAGATTCCTGGGGAGCCCAGAAATAGCTTCCCCGGTTCCCGCCTGGATCCAAGATTCTCTTAATTCCCTTCTCTGGTTTGCTCATCGTCGCACATACCCCTCATATCCTGATTCTAGGCTGTCATATGCTTCTCCTAATTCTGTCCCACGACACCTTTTAAATGCCCTTGTGGGTTGTGGCATAAGCGCACGTATATGTATAACTTTGTACAGAAAAAAGCTATTTTTGATTGACTTTGTTCACACATTTGTGAAAGTGACAAATTCAGAAACTCATTTAACATTTAGATGTTGTAAACTGTTAAAATGGAGCTTTGGGGAACCTGTTATATTTTGCTGGTTTAGACGGATAATAGAAACAGCTGTTAGACACTGTAAAATTGCTTTTCCTTGGCAATGTGCTCCCTGGTATGAAGAAAGTAAAGGGAAAGATCCTTTCTTAGACAATGTTTTCAAAAGGAAATATTTATTGAATTCAGGAGAGAGAATACACTTTGAAACTCTGTAGTTAAATATAGACTATTTGGGATTATTATTTTTTTTAATTGAACTAAAGTGAACCCATTTATGTTCAGTCCTGCCTTTGCTACTTACTGGTTCTATAACTTAGGGAAAGTCATTCATTGAAGCACTCCAAGATTGTTTTCACTTCCGTTAAATAGGAATAAAATCTTACAGGGATGCTGTTGTGGTTAAATGCATTTGAACATGTTTGATACACTGTCAACAGCTACACAAATGTGAGTTGTTACCAGATACACCCCCCAGATTACTTGCCAATCAGAAAGGAGAAACACATACTTTTGCAACGAGGAAATCTGGCTGTCCCCACCTTATCCCAGTTATCCAATGTAGCATCATTAACCCTAGTATGCTGCAGCATGAAGTATACAGCACCACATAATGAAGTTTCTTTTGCCAAAAATGTTCAACCTAAATCCAAGCAAGCCTTTAGATTTAACCTCCCATTTACAGGGGCTTAGAGGAACCAGTCAGACACCCCAAGGGAACAATCAGATAAATCAAGAGCGTGAGGCATTCTGTAAGTCAACTGGTTTTATAGAAGGTAAGGCACAAAAAACGGTCAGGGGGTGATTGTTCTAAATTTCAAAAAACTTAAAAGCCAAACAAATGCTTGATTGGATTCTGGTTTTTATTTTTTTTTAAAATAACCAGATTTCAGACATTTTTGGGATAATTGGGGAAATTTGAAAATTGACTGGTATTACATGAGACAGTTATTTACTGTAATATTGGTATGATAGATCTGAAGGAAAACATCTTTAAAATTTGGAGAAATGTTTAGGAGTTACCATTGTTAACAGTTTGATACATATTCTTCTATCTTACGGATTTTAAAAATTAAAAAATGTTAATATTTTGACACCTACACTTATTTAGTTTGCTAGGACTGCCATAACAAAATACCACAGATGGGGTGGCTTAAACAACGAGAATTTATTTTCTTACAATTCTGAGGGCTAGAAGTCTGAGATCAGGTGTCGACAGGGTTGGTTTCTTCTGAGGTCCTACCCCCTTGACTTTTAGATGGCTGTTTTGTCCGTGTGTCTTCACGTGATTTCTTCTCTGTACATGTCTGTGTCCTAATTTTTTTTTAAATTATTATTTTTTATTATGAAATACACATTTTTTAGAATTAGTTTCAGCGGAAGACCTCTGGGTGGTCTGTGTCCTAATCTCTTATAAGGACACCAGTCATACTGGATTACAGCCCACCCTAATGACCTCATTTTAATACCTTTTTAAAGGTCCTATCTCCAAATAGTCACAATCTGAGGTACTGGGGCCAGGGCTTCAACATGAGTTTTGAGGGACACAATTCAGCCGGTAACATACACAGAATGCCTATGATATAATGAGTTATGAAACACAATCGTAAAACTAATACCCATTAATCCATCATTCAATAGAAGAAATACAAAAATGACCAGTTTCGTACATCTTTATTCCTAATCCCATTCCATGATGTATTGAGGATAACAACGTGAAAATATCTACAATTCTAACTGTATGCATATGCATACAGAAATCACTTGGAGGACAACACACTAAACTGTTAGCAATGGTTATTCTGGGGGATGGAACTTGAGATAACTTTGTAAGTTATATGCAGATTTCTCACTGATTCTTTGGTACAAAATCTAAGCAATTCAAGGTATTCTATTTACAACTGGCAAAAGTACACACATCACTGATTACCTCGCTCCGTTCTAGATACTTCCCTGCTCTCATGTCTAATTTAGGTTAATATTGCCTTGAAGAATGAACTTGGTTAAGTTGGGGAGCTTGGAGAGTCATAATGAATAATAAATGACAAACTCCTCAAAACAGCCTTATGTGCAACATTTGCGAAATAAAAAGCGGAGGCTGTTATGAGACCTGCAATCTAATCACAATTGTGTCTCTGTTGCCAGGAAAAGGGTCAAAACAATATCATCAGGTGATTTTAAGATGCTGATACCTCAGGTTAAAGATTTGTTTTCTAAAAACCCACATATTTCTTCAGGGTCACAGTATTTTTAAACATAGTTACACAAAGTATAATGTGCCTTCAAACTCGCCACTTCTACTTCTCACACAGTGGACTTCACAGCCCTTCAAAAGTAGATGGTAGATGGCATCCACTTCTCTATCAAATTCAGTCATGTCTTGGTCCTCCTAATGATCGACAGGGCAACTTGAGTGAAACCTAGGTGACTGACACTTAGGCCAAAGCAGATCTTTCTGGAGATGGAGTTGGGATCCATCTTGTTTCAAGTCAGTTTGGAAAAAATGGAATTTAGTGTAAATATGGAAGCTTACTGGGAGATATAGCTTGAACTTATCAAAGTGGTTCTTTGATCCGTCAAGTGGTATATTTACCTTAAATGTTCAATAATGTAATACCTGACTACACTTTTCAGGATAATTGCCTTACTTGCACATGGCATTTTCAGCCCCTAGCACATTCTTCTGTTACAAAGTCAAATGCATTGGCTCTGAAGTCAAGCACAACTAGCCACTTTTGCTCTGCTTGAACGTCCTTTCTCACTAGAAATAGAGGATAATTTTGTTTTCAAAACTTCCTATTTAACAATTTTTAAAAAACAATTTTATTGGAGAACAGTGTTTTTTTCCAGGACCCACCAGCTCCAAGTCAAGTAGCTGTTTCAACCTAGTTGTGGAGGGTGCAGCTCAGTGGCACATGTGGGGATCAAACCGGCAACCTTGATGTTATGAGCACTGCGCTCGAACCAACTGAGCTAACTGGCCAGCCCCAAGAGGGCAATTTTTAGTTTTTAGAAAACAACCCCCTTTTTGGTTGTAACAGCAATTCATGCTCATTAAAGACAATTTGGAAAATAATGGAAAAGCAGGTACAATCACCTATACACAAAATCCTCCACAACCACCCCCCTTAAAGGCAACCACTGCTATTTCGTCACCCTTGATTCTATTCTTGTTCCCATTTTGTTTTTTCCACACAGATTAAGTCATATACATATAGAAAACCTATTTTATGCTTAACTCATACTTTTTTTTTTTTTAGCTAAGCCATCCTGCCACCTGTTGGCAGCTCAGTGACAGCTCAGCTTGGGCTGGGCATCGAACCGCTGTTGCTCAGAGCTCGCTCGCACTCTTGAGCAAGCTCTTAACCAACTGAGCCACTCAGCCGGCCCTTAACATCAGATTCTTAACATTTTCCCATATAACTAAAATTTTCAAAAACAATTAAGTCTTTAAAAGTATTTCTCCTAAGCACATAAGCAATGCTTTTTCTGTATAGAAAATTTGAAAAATACTGAGAAGCAAAAGATCCCCATATTTATATCACCACATATGCATTTTCTTAAAAAATGGATTCAAAGCATATAAATTTATGCTTTCCCCCATACTATATCATAAACACTTTCCATGATTAAATATTCTGTGTTTCTACTTGTCCATGACACACGATTATCATTTATTTAACCATTATTGTGATGTCTGGCATTTAGGTTATTTCTATTAATAATGCTATGATGAGTTGTTATTACTTTGGAATATCTCCTTAGATTTCTAAAGCCAAACTAGTAAGTCAAAGGCTAAGAATAATTCTGAAGCTCTTCACATTGCCAAAGCACTTTCCAGAAATGTAAACACAAACTCGCCCAGTGTGAGTGGCAGCCCCAAATTCTCACTAGCATTATTTCTAAAGATTTTGTTAATTTCCTAAGTAAAAAAACTTTTTTTTTCACTACTAGTGGGGGTGAACTTATTACTTGCATTTACATGTTAAAATTATTCGTAGGTCTGTTACCTATTACTTATCAGGGTCTTCTCTTATATACGATTACGTACATTGATGTAGGTTTTTAACTGTGCCATACTGTTGTAAATTATTTTAGTGCATCACCTAATTTATTTTAGACATACATTAGCAGGGAGGTTACTATTGCTCTCATTGGTTACTCCGGGTCTTAAACAAAACAAACAGTATCTTGTGTATGCTACATTACTCAAAATCAGTTGGTAGTTACTGTATGCTGTTATATTCATAAAGCAGAGGCACTTCTTAAACTCAGCTTTCTCCTCACAAGAAACATGAATGCGAACCTTTTCCGGACTAAGACCATTATTTCTCAAACCGATGCAGAGCTGTGATCTACAGGAGCAGAGAGCACAAATGTGAGGTCTTTTCTTGGCCTGATCACTGCCCAGCCAAGGGACCCTGTGCAAGTCACTGCCCAGCCAGAGCTTCAGGTCCTTTGCAGGTAGACACAGCACCTCTCAAGTTTTCCTCATTCCTGACATTCTGAATCGAGGCTTCTGGGAATGCAAGGGCACCACCCAGTCAGTTCCTCCCCAGCCAAGCAGAGCTAGCTAGTGAGACTTACATTCTTCCACATCAGAGGTGAGAAGGAGTCTCCTCTGCTCTGCTGCTTACTAGCTGTGTGACCTCGGGCAGCTCTTCAACCTCAAGGAGCCTGTCCACCCATCAGGGAAAAATAAGCTTCATGGGAACAGGTCCCTTAAAATGTTAATTTCTCTCTCTCCCCGTTTATAATTTTAACTTTTTTCTGCCTTTCTCCACTTGTTTGCTGAATCATTTTTCAAACAAAAGGTCTCACATATTTATTATTGAACCAATCAACTAGTGCAGAATAGAAACAGAGAAAAATCTCCATCCAGGTAGTGGTGATGATTTCAGCTCGTCATGGTGAGATGCTAGTGAGCTTGCTACAGCGTAAATATGTGCGCCATCTCATGTGTGATTCCTACAGATGCACCTTGGTTCTTCCCTAGTGTGTCCTTAGAATTGTACCTGATTTTACTACCAGTTTTCATCCAAATCTATTGGGGAATGTGATGATTCTGCTTTTTGTTTCTTGGCCAGGAATTGTTTGATCCTTTGATCCTGAAAGTCTTGCGAAACTATGGTGAGGAAAAGAGTTAATGACAATGGCAGAGAAAGGAGACGAGAGCTGAATCTCTTGAGACTTTTAGAGTAAAAATAATACTCAAGTCTGAAATAACTTGAGTTATTCTATAAAGAATTATCAACGTTTCCCATCTCCTCTGAGGTAAACTGTGAGATGTTAGGTTAGAGCTGACCATGAGGGCAGCTTAAGGCCAAACGGGGCTACATGAAGTCTCTGAAAGTCACATTGCCTAGAGATTGGTGGGATGGAGAAGAACTGCAGTGTATCTACCACAACTCATAATTCCATTTTGTAGTTAGAATGGGGAGGGGAACTGAAAGCACTCCAGGTTTTTATTGTAAAAGAAAGTTACCATGTAAACATTAGATCTTTACCCATCTCCCTTAGAGCAAAATTAAAAAGGTAAGAACATTTATAGGTAATATCCTTACTGGTCCCCAACACCAAGAGGTTTGTCAGTCTATGCCTGAAACACGTTAAAAATCATGTTCAGAAATAACAAGAAAGGAGAAATGTAGGGACACATTTTTTTTCAAGTATACAATTTGTTTTTATTTACAATACCCTATAAAAATGTAAATTTAGAAATTTTAATTTTTATTAATTAGAACCAAACAAAAAAGATAAAAGCACAGAAAGGAAGAAATAATAATCAAGTCTTCACTTGATCGGCTGTGAAATGGAAAGGTAGGAAAGGCCCATAGTGGAAAGAGTGAGTGGGTAACGGCGGAGGGATGCTAGGTAATGTCACTGGGGCACAGCTAGTGAAGCCTGGGGCTACAGAATGGGAAGAAATGGAGAAAAAGGACAGCTGGTTATAACGGAGAAGGGTTTTACTGTTGTACAATACTTGTATGTGCAAAATGTTTCCTCTTTAAATATCATAGTCTGTTCTCCCGACTACATTCGCGAAGGTGAGAACAGCAAGAAGGTATATCAGGACAGTCATGTAACATGAATTCAGATTTAATTTTCTTGACGGCTGTAATCACTAGGGATCAAACCTCCTCATCCTGGTTGAGTGCTGGATGGGAGAGGGATAAGTGGAAAGGGTCATGGCTGTTGCCTGCTAGGATTCACACCCAGGCCCCTGGCTCCTGAGACAGGACGTGGGTGAGATGCAGGAGCAAGGGCAGCAGTTCTGCCCATGATGTGGAGGAGGCTGAAGAGGAAAGCAAGCCAAACAGCTTCCACAGTCACATCTGGAGGTTTCTACCCATGACACCAAATAAAAATGGGAAGAGAGAAGTAAAAGCATGGCTTACTGAAGTGGTCTCAGGAAGACAAAAGCTACACTGTGGATGCAGACGCTGCGTTGGAATCATCTTGGGCAATCTTCCATGCACTTGAGGGGAGGGACTCAAGTACACCGTAGTTGTAGCAGGAAAAAGGTTTAACCGTGTGCTGTTTCCATGGAGGTGGCCAGAAAGAAAGGAAATTCAAGAGGGGAGGAGAAAAAGGACTTCCCAGCCCAGAGCTGGGCATCAGCCAATTAAGAGTTCTGATTTTATGAAATGTGCTGCATATCCTGTATTTATATTAAAAAAAGTAGAACCCACCATATTAATTACAAGATGGGCTAGAAACATTAAAAGTACATCAGCTGGTTTGTGTGTACAGGAGGGATGTGTCAACCTAATATTTCTTAATCTAACTCATTCTTTAAGGATCCTCTGGAGACCACATCAACATATGTAGGGGGTGTGTGCGCGCATATACATGTATATTAATTTCTACTTAATTGGCTCTCCTATAGTCATATTAATACGGGGCAATGAAGAATACTTCAATAGGACGAGGGAAGGACCACTTTGGCAGGCTACATCTACTCTGAATCGGAGGAATGGTGGTGGGATAAAGGGAGAGATTATATTTGTGTCTCTAGGGCAAAGAAAATGCAAAATTGAGAATTGAGTAAAAACAGGACATGCAGAATTGTAACAAAGAAGGTAAGAAGAAACCAGCAGAAGTATCACCCAGCCAATTTCACAGAGCAGTCGGGAAGTACCTGGCATTTAGAGACAACCCCTGTGCACAGGAATCGGCCCCACAGACGCTTTGGGAACAAGCTCCCTTCCCGCCCTCATTAAAAACACTCCATTGGTGGTGGCAGCAGTGCAGGTGACAGCCAACAGGAGGCACAGGACACATCTGCAGATCTTTTATCGTATCCCCTGAACTAGCCTACAGGTGTAAAGAGAGAGAGAAATGAAACTTGTTTGTATAAGTGAGTTAAAACAGAAGGCAATCTTTTGCATTAAAATCACATCTTGCAGGAATTTCATACCAAAACTCCTAAGATATCTCTACCCTTAGCAACCAGTCAGCTATGAGGGAGGCTGTTGCTACACCCAAGACAGTGTTTTATATCTAGCAGATACGCATCTATTTGATACAAGTCTTTAATCTCTTTCACCATAATTCTGTTTTATGCCCCCGACCTCCTCATCACAACTTCTAAAGTGCCAACATTAGTGAGATGGGGAACTCTCCTGTTGCAAACTTACTGCAGTTTTGTCTCCAGCAAGTTCAGTTTCTGTCGGTCAACATAGCGAGAAAAGAGGGATACCAGGTTTGTGGGGATAGAAACTGGCTTGGCCAGGGCTGCTTGGGGAATCCGCAGGAGTTCTCGGGTGGCCATGAACATCACCTCCGTCCTGACAGGGAAAATCGATAGCAACAATATAAGAAAACAAATGGAAAGTTTACCCAAAAGAACTTAAAACAGACGAAACAGAGCCCAGACTGACCACTGGCTGTTTTCCGTTGGTTCTGCAGCAGGGTCTGAGCTCTGAAGGTCTTCCCCACGGCTCAGGACGATGAGGAGCAGTGACAGGCCAAACTACAAGAGGGGACAGAAGGAGTCAAACTCAACCCTGCATTGCATCCTCCTCCAGCACCACTGAGGGGATCCCAGCGTTGGATGGGGCATGGCATTAAGTCCAAACGACACCACTGCTGTGCTTCTCTGTGCAACTGGGCAAAGATCAGACAACCACGAACAGGGAGGCTGAGTCTGTCTCCTTGCTCAGCAGCAAAAAGCACTGGAAATCAATGGAAATGCAAAGTCCCAGTGTCCAACAGTCCCCTCTGCTCCCCCACCCCACCTGTGATAAAAAAATATTTGTTCCCTGCCATGGATTTCGTGGGATTTAGTTCTTCTCCTATTTATGAGAACAGAAATGGATTACAAAGGAAAGTTAAGTGAAGACTTATTTTGATACAGAAAATTAAGGTTCATGGAAAAAATAAAAAACATTAAACAGAGTAAGATATTTTGAATTAAGAAAACAAGGAATTAAGACCTATGAGAAAATGTACAAAGAAAAATAACTGGAACGATCAGGATACAAAGAAAAAAATTCCTTAAAAAAGGACACACCTATCTGTTATAGAAATATAAAGGCTTAGATAGATGTTAATGAGAGTTTAAAAAAAATAAAGAGAGAAAGACTAAACAGATATATTCCCACATCTAGTATTATTATATGCAGCAACATGCTTCAGAGACTGAAATAAAGATCTACTTTATCACATTTGTTTCATTTAGTGGGTAGTAAAAGCTAAAGGGGGCACAGAATGAAAATACAAACAGGGACAAAAACTGCTAGATTCATGTCTGAGTCATAGTTACAATGGGTCCGAGAGAAAGTGGGGATATTTTGGGGATTCTACCCCACCTTTCTGCATTCCCCTCATAGAAGGTAATTTTGCCTTTCCATAAAAGTTCCCTTCGTGTCAGAAAAACAACACTGGGCTATATAATGTTTGGCCTCATGATTTTCTGCCTTTGTCCAAATTAATACCAGGAGACCAAATTACATGGAAGGCACTAACTGATCCCTCCAAAACCCCACCCTAAGTCCCTGGAGGCAGTCACTTTTCAGCTGCTGATGTACTGCCCTTCAGGCACGCTTTGGCAGGTTTGCCGGCGCAAGGAAGGAGACTGCTTTCTCACTCTACTGTTAACAGGTGGCCCCTAAAGAGTGCCCTCTCAGTCCCAGGCATTATAATGAACTGTTCATAGCTGTTCTCTCATCTAAGTACCAAGAAGACTGTGACGTCAACATCGTTGCCTCCACTTTATAGATTAGGAAACTGTCGCTGAGCGAAGTGAAATAATCTGGTCAGGGGCACAAACCTAGAAAGCGGCGGCAAGGAAGGAAAACTCGCTCTCACAGATCATGTTCTTTCTTCCATGTTATGCTCTCCCTCGTCTCTGGCTCTTTAACTTGATGCAAACGCAATATGAAATGGGATGTTCTACTATTTAGTCTTAAAACCGCTACTTACCCACCTAACATGCTTTCCTGCTCCTATCAGGACTCCGATTTTATTTGTGGTGACAATGGTGTGACCTGAAGGATGTTTTCCAGCCTTCCCTGCCAGTAAGAGTGGCACGTGACTAAGACCTGGCCATTGGGATTAAGTTGTTGATTAGAACTCCTGGAAAAGGTGCACATAAGACAGGCAGCTAATCCACACCCGCTGGCCTCCCACACGCACCTCTCTTCTGAGGCAAGGTGAGGCCTTGAATTCTATGACCATCATGGACCCTAAGGGGTCCTCAGCGTGTCAGCCACTGCTAAGGACGGCAGAGAGAGCAGACCAAGGAGCCCGTGTGCCTGGCGATGCTGTGGAGCCACTCAACCAGGTTGATTCCACACGAGATACATAAAGTTCTGTTTTGTTGAAACCACTGTTCTTTCTAGTCTAAGCAGCTCAATGTACCTCCTGACTGAAGGAAACCTTATTTACAAGCTGCCACGGCCACAGCAGCCATTACGTTTACCTATAACTCAGGTCAGATGCCTTGCAAAGCCTTAGGGACGTGGAAGGGCAAGCCCACCTTGTTCTGGAGCACAGCAGCGAGGTGAGGGTTGGAGGGGGCTGGTGCGGCTGCACTCTGAGGTAGGTTCATCAGCTGCTGCAGAAGGCTGGTGACGGTCACTGATGGAAGATGATAGAGGAGGAGAGAGAAGGGACTCAGTAAGCATGGCAGCACCTACAAAAAAGAAATGAAAGCATCAGATCCTGGCAACTGTTCCTTCAGTGACCCTTCATCAGTGGGCAAGGATGAAAGGATGACCAGCTGTTATACCCAACTGCCTGAGGCAAGCTTTAACAATAAAAGGGTGGAGAAGTCTAGCAGATACTACTCGAGTCTTAATAATGGATTCTAAGGTATCTACTGAGAACTTTTTCAACTGCATATGCATAGAGGAAACTTCATGAGTTGTATGAACCAAGGGTATAAAATCACTTCTCAAATACACAAGAGTCATAATAAAACATCAGTATTTTAATTTATTCCACAAATATTTAAATACCTACAATGTGCCAGGCACTGTAGGCTAAAAACATAAGTTAAAAGGACAGCCCTTCAGGGATCTAAAACAGTGGGGAACATGAGTAAATTGGCAATTTCAATATACTGTGAGCAGCACTCTAAGATAGGTAAATTCTGAGTGCCACAGAATTACTGAGAAGTGTTTTCAGACTTAATTCTATCTTGTTTAATCTTTATAAAATCTCAATGAGGAGATGGAGCATTGATTAAGCAATTTTACAGATTAGAAAGCTAAATGATCAGAAGCTCAGTGTTTAGAATTACAAAGCTAGAGCCAGAATCCAAAGCTGTTGGATTCTAGCCTGCTAATCATTCATTCCTTTTTGCTGTAAGGCCCAGAATGGAAGGTTAAAACACAGAGCTACCAATATAATGAGGTTATAACAACACATGAAAGGAAATCAAATGTGCTTCCAGCACTCAATGCACATGGTATAAAAAATGATGATTGCTTTTACTTTAAATAGATCCAAGGATGGAGAGTAGACTACTTTTTGTGATCTATCACTCTAACTAAATAAAGCTTTAAAAACTAAAGCATTTTCAAACATACACAGAACTACAAAGAACAATATAATGAAGCCCATGCACCCATCACTGAACTTTAACAATTATTTAATCAATATTGTGCCAGTCTCATCAAATCTATGTTCCTCCTGTATCATTTCATCTACAATGACTTCTTTGTATCTCTAACAAAATCTCTCACAATACTGTCACACCTAACAAAATTTAATTCCTTAAGATCTAATATCTACTCCAAATTGAAATTTTCTAATTGTCTCAAAAATGTCTCATCATGATTCAAGTACAATCCACACATTAAGTACACTTGGTTGTACTTGGCTGCTAAGGCTTTTAAAATTTAAAAATCTGTTAACAGGTCCTTTGTCACTGTCTACCTCCTTTTCTCATACCATTTATTTGAAGAAACGGGGTCATTCGTCCCATAGTTTGGATCTGGCTAACTGCACCTCTGTGGTGTCATTTAACAGGTTCCTATGTCTTCTTTTGTTCCCCATAAAAACTGATAGTTAGAGTTAGAGGTGTGATTCAATTCAAGAGCAATGAGCAGAGGGGCTGGTGGAGGGTGAGAGAGCAAGAGCGCTCCACGGGTCCCGCTGCGCGCTTTCCACTGCATCACACACACCGAGACGCACCGAGCATCTGGCTGTCCGCCTAGTGGTGTTAACAGGGATTAGAGGGTCCCGGTGTTGTCAGCTGCTCCAGCCACTGTCAAGGTCCCCACCCACCTTTTACCTAATGCTTTTAGCACCAGTGATGATTGCTGTCCAGATTCACTGCTTTTCCATTAGGGGCTATAAAATGGTGATTTCCTAATTTTATCCTATTTTTGCATTTAGTAGCTTTCTGAAATTCTTCTCTGAAGAATTTTCTCTTATCAACTCTCTGGTCACCATGATATTTGGTTGTAATGGAAGGGCATTAATAAATGCTTGATTCTTTTCCTTTACATACCAGTTTTCAGAATAATGAGTTGATGGCCTAGCAATCTCTCAAGGTGATTAAAATATTTTTGATATCATAAACTCATTAAATATATTTGATATACTTCAATTCACTGCTGTAATTTTTCTTTAAGATACAAATAATCCCATTTTTAACAAGAGAAGCCCCTTCAAGTTGGTTTGTGCATCTTTTACAGAGGACCCTAGTAATCTTTTAGCTTCCTTGCTTTCTGGCACAAGATATTCCAGGGTGACCCTGTACATTTTATGCCTCAGACCTGGAACTAGCTATTACTTCAAGGAAACGGTAGAGATGTGGTCTAGTACTCGTTAATGCATACTGGTTAAAAACTTAGCCTCTGTATCTTACCAAGTTTTCCTCACTAGCAGGTAAGTTCCACTGCAGCAGGCATCTCTGGATCCCTAACTCCCAGCACCCAGAACTAGGTGCTGTATTTCGAGAACCGAAAAACAGTGCCTGGTACACAGAATTGTTCAGTAACTATTTGCTGAAAGAATAAAGCTCTCCCAAACTTGTTTCCATTGATGAGTTCCTCTGAGATTATGATGAGCGCCTGTCTCATTGTCTACAACAATTTATATGCTGTAAGGTAAATGTTCCTTTCAGTCTTGTCTTCTATTTTCTAGATAAACCTCAAATCCTACACCTCCAACTTATTTCTGCCAACCCATTTTCCATTCTTGAAATCTTTAAAACAACGTACTTGTCTCATCCCACTTCACTTTTTCCAATGAGGCCTACACTTTACATTCATTCCTTCTCTAAATGCAAAAATTACAAGATGGAATTTTTCAACTCATATTACAGAATGAATAATTTTGAAGTCACTGATAAGATATCTTGGGATCATTTGTTTCCTGGGGACTGTTACCAGATGGTTATTGCTCAACTTGCAGTCTAACAGATTCACTCTCATTAATTCTATTCTTTTTGAATCTCACCCTTAACACTAGCCCTTTGTGCTACCTTTATAAATTTCTTGCTTTGAACTTCTAAGACTGTTCCAAATTTTGCTATTCTTTCCAGTGTTATGACAGAAACAACCAGAAAGCAACTCTTACCAAGAGTTAACTTGTAAACTGGATAGCCATGTTTCAAATTCCAGCCTCGTTTAGATCATGATAAAAGTTATTTAAAAGCACTGGCCCTATTCCTGTGGGCAGGATGCCATTCAACTAAGTCTACAGGTGAATGAATGTTAAGCTACTGACAACAACCCAGTAAGTGATACTTTATATCCAGCAAATTAATCAAGACTGCAAATTTGCAAATGTTAGTATTCGATTCAGCAGGGGGCCCTGTTATAGATGCAGAAGCCCTGATCTTTTCTCTGTAAATGCTGATTCAGCATGCTTGGGGTAGGACTGAATTATTGTTTCCCAAATAATTTGGACAGAGACCACAGCAGAGACCACAGCTTTACAACTGTGTCATATCAGATGGAATTACTGCTTTCCTCATGTTTAGGAACATGGTTTGTTGGACAAAACAAAGGGTTAAAAATATAGGCCTGGAGTAAAGTTTGGCTTTAAATAATCAAATTATACTGCCGAAGGTTAGACAACACAACACAAAAAGAGGGAAGGAAAAGAAATTTGGATCCTAGAAATATTATTAACTATGAAGACAGAAAGGAAAGATGTCCCACATGCCGGGTTACCTCATCTTGTGCATCCTTCTTGATAAGGAAAGGGAGGTTCCTGGCTGTTGTCATGACAATGTCAACTGCTTGCTCTGTAGAGAGGAAAGGAAGAATACGGGCGACCATTCGCTTCCCTTTCCGGATACACATGATCTGTACAAAGTGGTCATCGCTTGGCCTGCAGGGGAATAAAAATGCTAACTTAGGTCAGCAAGAACAATGTAAAAAATCCTTTTTCCTCTTACACTTACTAAATGAATACACTGCATTCATTTTCATTCAATTATCTGTACAACAAAATAGTGAGAACTACTACTCCAACCTCAACCAAGTAATAAAAAATTTTCTGAAGTTTCACAAATGTAGAACATCATTTCAAAAATCGTATGCCAAAAAAACTTGGTCAAATTACATATGCGCAAATTTCCTTTACTAGCTCTTAAGCAACTATACAAATAGCATGGTTAATACAGCAAAATCTGAAAAAATACACAAGCAAAAAAGAAAAATATTCACAATCTCAGACTTAATTAGTGGTACAATTTTAAAGAAATTTTTGCTGTGCATTATATATTTTTATCTTTCATTTAAAAAAATGGGCCCACAGAATTCAGATGGCTTTACTTCACTTTTTCCAACAGCTTCTTGTGAACACTTTGTCCACATCAATAAATACATACTTCAACAATACACATTTTAATGACTGCATAGCATTGATCTCTGCATGAACCCACATTTATTTAACCAGTTCCCTGTCAGCCCAGCTCCAGAAAAGATGTGGTAAAAAGGTGCTTATTTTATGTTCTGTTTTGTGTATGTCCTGGCTTAGAAGAATCATCAGTTCTCTTAAAGGGGCAAAGAGAAAGGGAGTTATCAGGAGACGCCCCCTTACATTCATCAAATAAATATTTGGGATTTATAGAACATTTACCATTAGTAAGACTCTGTTCCAGCTACTGGGTGGGCAAGAGATGACAGCGATACAGAAAAAAAGATATATTCAGAAGCTCGGTCTCCACTGGAAGAGTGACTGGTTCCCATTGCATATGAGCATTCTACAGAATCCCTAGGAAGTTTAAATGTTTCTACTTTTCAGCTTAGTAGGAAAGAAAGTATATAAAGATTACATGGTTGACCATGCTAGTAAGCATAAACCAGGTACAATCTGTAAGCTCAAAAACAGAAATAATGTTTCCCACTGTATCGCCTCAGTAGATACTGAATAGGTATTTGTTGAATAAATGAATTCAGAATAACGAGGCAGGATTCTGAAATGTTTTATATGAAGTGGCATTTGAGTTCGGCTGAAAGGACAGGTTTGGAGCTTTCTGAGATGGTAAGGAAGGCTATCTGTAAGGCAGCAACGTATAAAGCGCAGTTTCGCAGAGTGAGGAGTCCAGCCAGCGCCATGTTTTTCTCCAAGTGCACGATTCTTACCTCTCTTGTCCAGGCAATTTCCCCCTTAAGTTTTCATACATGCTACAAATTTTGTGCTTTCTTTCATCCACCAGGGCAGGTCGCTCTTCTTCTAGACTTAGGAGATAACGCCTTTCATAATCCTCCACGTCAAGGAGTAAACTGTAGGTCTACGTGAGACACAAACCAGGACACGGCAAGGTAGGTCAGGGTCAGAGAATTAGATAAATAAGTTCACAGTTTAGGACTACCGGATAAAGACCAAGAGAAAACTCATTGGAGTAAGATTGAGAGAAAAAAGGTACTCTTTTAAATCCAATAAAACATAGTGAAAGAACTTATAAAATTCTTCAAACACCGTTCTTTGTCCCTCCTTGACCTCTAATCTAGAAGGTAATGACAGTGAAATTACACTTTCTAAAATTTCCAGCAACAACAGCACTGTAACATAAACAGTCACCCCTCTGAGTTCTGCCTTACATTTAGAAAAATGGGACTCATTACTACTGGGTGCCAGGCACTGCTCTAAACACTCTGCACGTACATATTCACTCACTGAATACTCACCACAGCCCAGGGGGTAAGAGACATCACCAATTCTACACATGGAGAAACTGAGGACAGCACAGAAAGGTTAACCAACCTGCCTCAAGTCACTGACTCAAAAATGAAAAAGGCATGATTTGCAGGCTGGTTGCAGTCTGTGCTCTTAACCACTACGTTCTACGGCCTTGCAACACGGGATTTATGCTTTACAAAGTAGCTGCCTGCATGTTACCTTGTTTTTCTTAGGAGCCAGCACAGTGTCCGGCGCCCAGGGAGTGCCTAATATATGTGAACAGACTTAACTGATTAAATTAATTCACAAGCAGAACAATGTAATTTCTATCCTCACTTTTCTTACAAAGGTGACCTACCCAAAGTATTCAGTTGTGACCCAAGTAAGCTTGGACAAAACCCCAGTACTTCTTTTTAACTTTTTTCAAAATTAAACTTATTGGTTTGACATTGGTTAGTAAAATTCTATAGGTTACAAGTGTACAGTTGTATAATACATCATTTATATATTGCATTGTGTGTTCACCAACCCAAGTCAAATCTCTTTCCGTCACCATATATTTGACTCCCTTTAGCCTTTTCTATTTCAACCCCACCCCTCTTTCCCTCTGGTAACCACTAAACTGTTGTCAGTCTCTATGAGTTTTTGTGTTTGTCTTGGACAACGCCCCTAGCACTCTTAACCATAACTGCAGTGCTCTTTCCATGAGGCCATACTGAAGTATACAACATTCCTTTCCAGTGTGCTCCAGTACACAATAGGCACCTAACCAGAATATATCCATTAATTAAAATCACAGAACACTGGTTGACTGCTTACTTTTCCACTTCTTGTGTACACATAAACTTGCAAGCTCCTCATTGGAAACTAACTATAGCGACAAATTCTAAAACTTACTTTCTCAATTATGACAAGGGTTTTTCGTCTCTTGTCCCGAACCTGTTTTTCTTTTGTCTCCTAAAAAAAGAAAAGACTATTCAGTGTGGACTCTTTACTTTTGTTAAAAATAAGTTTCTAGGGGCCAGCCGAGTGGCGCGATGGTTAAGAACTGGCTTGGGACGCCAGAGGACCCCGGTTCGGATCCCACATATGAGGGCTAGTGACACTGCCCTCCACAGCTAAGATGCTGAACAATAGCTCAACCTGGAGCTGGGCTGCCATGAGTCGCCGGCGACGGCATAGGCTGCAGCCCCTGTGGCAGTGGGTTGCCATGGGCTACCGTGTGTAGCCAGCAGCCAGCGTGAGCGGCCAGCAGCCGCAGTGAGCGGCCGTCCAGAAGCCGGTGACTGATCTGCCTCGCCCGGGAAGAGTGCAATGATGGTGCCAACTTGGGCCAGTGAAGCAACGTCCTCCACAACTAGATTGAAGAACAAAACGACAGCAACTTGTCTGTCCCCCTTCCCCCAATTCCCCAGCGCTGTTCCCATCCCCAAATTCCCCAATAAAAATCTTTAAAAAAAATAAGTTTCTAAGTGTGCACATGTAGTTTCACATGTGACAATACTTTGAGAAAAGGATCTTGGCTCTGTGAAGTCTGTGGACAGAGTCTGTGGACAGAGGTCATAGAGTTGACTGAACCAACCCACATACAAACCCTTGACCTGAATTCACAAACGAGCAAAAGGCAATTGTGGAATGCAGAAGATGAAGATATCATAGAAAAATCTCAAAGCACAAAGAAAATGGCAATTTAAAGAACTAGAGTAACTAGCTGATGCTGTTTACAGCCAGTCAGCCAGCTGACAGACTCCCGCCACCCTGGGTCCTGCCTGGCTGCCTTAGGGATGAGGGTGTGAGTGTCTCAGCACGACAGGCCAGCTAAGAAGTTCCGGGTTAGTTTAGACTCTACACGATTCCATTATGCCCGATTCCTTCCACAATGACCCCTAAAGCAGTAGTGATGACCCAGAATTTCTTAACCACACCATTCTGCTGACACTTACATCATCTTCACTCCGAGATGTCACAACAGCATCAATCATTTTCCGGGGATTATTCACACTAGAGACAGTAAGCTTTCCCAAGGAGCCCTCAAACTGCACTGCAAGGACAAAAAATATCCAACAAACAAAAACTTAGCAATGCAGAGACAGGCAGCTTTCAGAGAGCTTTAGATTCTCTATTCTTTAGTCACAGTCTAACAATTTACTACAAAATCCATGTATTATCTAAAGCAATCTTATCAAAATCGATCCTTTCCCATTTTTTTTTTTGGTTGCAATAATAGTCAAATAAAAATCTGAAGTGTTTCGCCCTTATCTATTTTAAGGATCCTAGAAACTGCAACAGGTTTTAAAAGTTATGGGCTCTCAAGTAGAAAATTATCTAAAAGGTCATCTGCCAAAACATTAATTCCATGCTTGAATAAGGCTGATCTCTGCACTGATTAAGGGCAATGGTACTTTACAAATCAGTTCCAAACATCTCTGTCTGCACATCTCTACAGTTTTTTATATTGTATCGTATCAGCAACCTGTCAGATTCCTCTTCCTATGGGCCCCGGGTCAGGACCTCACCTGGTTTATAGGCGTGCTCCAGTTTGGCCACCTGAGGGGTGATGAGCTTGGTGCGCTCCTTCTTGGGGCCATCACCTTGCACTTCTTCAGCAGCTGACAGTTTCTCCAGTTTTTCAAAGTAATTCTGCAGCGTGGGAAGATGATTTCAGTTGCAATGCAAGCACAGAATATGGCAGCTCTTTATTGTTAAATAATTAGCAATAAATACTTATACTACAATAGTGTCTGTAACAACTTGCACTCTATAAATATACTGATCTCTAATTTTTGTTAAACTGCTATAAATTTACTTTATCAAAAAATCCGAGCCTTCCAAAAGGCTAATCATCCATGAAAACATCTTTACAGTTAGACTGCTACTGCTCTTAATCGGAAGAACCAGATTACTGATGCCAAAGGGATTTGAAAACATTCGTCCAAGAGCCTCTAGAGGACAGTGTGAGAGGCTCTCCAGCTTGAAAAGAGGACAGAACTTGCTGAGTCAATTCTTATCCACTTGAAGACTACCTCAAAGAAAATTCTATCAATATTTAATCCTACCGATATTTAAATGAGTGCCTTCACCAGAGTAAGGGACTAAACTGTTATCCTCAAAACTAGCACAGAGTGTTTCTTCACCTGATAATAAAAGTCATCCAGGTAGGGATCAGTGCTCTGCAGTTGCATCATCTGGATTTTAGAGACCCAATCCTTTTCTCGCTGCAACATGAGATTGGCATATGGGTCCTTTCGGAGATGGTCCTGATGACCGCTCCGGTGACTTCCTCTGTCCCCTGCACCATTGAGATTCCGATGCTGACTGAAAAACAAAAATATGCCACATTCATTCTAAGCAGGTGCAATAATTATGCCTCATAATACAGGAATAAGCCAGGCCAATTAAAAAAAAAATTCCCCTTTGCTTTTGTTAAAAAAGAAGTGAAAAAGAGTTGAACCTTAACAGAATTTGACAGACAGAGCTATGCAACACATAATTAAGGAAATAAAACTAAGATCTGACTATTCCTTAGCATATGTGCATAGGTACTTTTCACCTATGAGCTTCTGCACAATCCCTACAATAACCCTATGAGGTAGGTGGTTTTATTTTCTCCATTCAAGAAAACCAACCAAGGCCAAAAGAGATGAAGTAATTTGCCCAAAGCCTGGTGGCAGAGTAAGAGATTGAACACAGGCCAATTTGACTCCTAGTCCATACACTTTTTAAAAACTTGTTGAAAATCATGAACACTTCAAATGTACAGAAAGCCCAGCAAATACTGTAATAAACATCCATTTACCTACCACCTAGATGTAATGAAAAAAAATATATTTGACCAAATTTGCCTCATCTTTAAAAAGTAACATCAAAGTAACACAGTGTTAGTTAAGGCTGAAGGCCTCTTCTACTGCTCTGGATCCGTTTCCAGCTTCCCTTCCTTCCCAGCGGAGTGACTGCGGTATCCTCCCTGAAACGTCTTATACTTATATTACTTGGGTGTCCATCTTCGAATTTTATATAGTGTTATTCTGTGTGCCTTACATAAATGGTACTAGACATGGAATTCTCCTTGTTTCTTACTCAACACCATATTTTTCATATTTACCCATGTTGATAACATACCTAGATATATACTAAAAGATAGAACCGCTAAGATGTGGGTGTATTCACATTTTCAACCTTATTTTTTATTGCCAAATTCTCTCTTAAGAGGCTATATACTCCACTTATACCAACAACGATGATGAGACACTTAAATTTTGCCTGTCTGATGATATACAATGGTTATCTAATTTTAATCTGCATTTTTCTGATTACAAGTGAGCTTGAAGCTTTTCATTTTTATAAGCCATGTAGGATCTCCTGGGAATTGTACGCTTGTGCACGATGTTTTTTATTATACAGAACAGTTACCATGAAATCTATCCTCTTAACAAAATCTGAAGTGAACAATCCCATCCTGCTAGTGATAGGTACTAGAATTTTAATATAGGTACTAGAATTTTAATATAGTATTTTTAAAATTAATATTTTAAGAGCCCATACTGTTTTTTCCTTGTAAAAGTTATTCTAGGGGCTGGTCGAGTGGCTCAGTTGTTAAGAGTTGACTTGGGAGCGCGAGCTCTGAGCAGCAGGGCTGCCGGTTCAGATCCCACATGGGCCAGTGATGCTGTGCCCTCTACAGCTAAGATGGTGAACAACAACTCGACCTGGAGCTGAGCCGCTGTGAGCTACCGTGAGTGGCTGGTAGCCACTGTGAGTGGCCAGTAGCTGGCAAGAGCTGCCATGAGCCGCCGTCCAATGGCCGGTGACCAATCTGCCTCAGCCGGGAAGAGCGCAATGAAATACCAGCATAAGACAGTGAACCGACATCCTCCACAGCTAGACTGAAGAACCAAAGGGCAGCAACTTGTCTGTTCCCCTCCCACAATTCCCCAATAAAATCTTAAAAAAAAAAAGAAATTCTAGAACTTCTTTGAAAGAAGGAATTACACGCTAAGAACTATAAAATTGAAGGTTGAAGAAACTTCAAAGTTTTCTTTAATTTTCTTATTTTATATATATATATATATATATATATATAAACGATTATAGGCTATTAGCTCCATGAAGGCACAGGTTTTCTACTCATATGCTCATATGTCTGGTTCTTTCAATTCCCAAAATCTACCATAGTATCTGGTATATAGCTGGGGGTCACATATAAATATATACTTATATTTGTTGCATGAAGATTAAATAATTACAGGTAAGATTAAAGAGTGACTATTGGCTTAACCTAAGGTCCAAATGTAAGGCTAGCCACTGTGTTCCAAGATTACCTCAGAGCTGAACTGGTAGATAAAAGGTACCAGGTAGTTAAGGGTATAGTAAGAACTTGGTAAGGAGTGGGTATAAAATATTAACTAAAAAAAAAGATCAGACCTAAACTGTATTTCTGATATAGGATCAAAAGAATTACACAATTTTGGGAAATTAGTTGATAAAATCTTGTCATTTAAAGCTAGTGTATCAAAAACATAAAACAGCACATATGATCTGACTTTCCCAGTAAAACAAGCTCAATACTAATTAAATTTACTTAAAAAAGTAAACTAAATTAGTAGTACCTTGGTACACTGTCAAAATGAAAAGCTGAATTAAGAAACCACAGAGGAAGGGATGAGAACTTACTTTCTATTCTGTTGCTGCCTCTGATGCAAGAGTCGGCGGTGCTGTGGATGGAGGTGAGTGGTGTCGGGTCTGAACACTGGGGCCTGAGATCTAGGAAAAAAGGAAGAGGTTTTCAGTTCTGCTGTAGAAGACACAGGTTCAACCAAGGGGCTGTTAAAATTCTAAAGAAACCATGTAGAAGGAAAAGGTGGCCATGTTTTCATGTCTTCCACAAAGGTTTATTCTCAACTCCGAAGATGATGATCAAAAAATTTGAGAAAAAGAGTATAATTCTTTTTCTTTTTGTTCCTATTAAACAGAAGTCTCTACATCGATTTAATGTACTTAGTTTCAACTATTTGGGAATGACGTTGAAAATGTGTGTGTATGATTAATTTTATGTGTCACCTTGGCCCCAACTATGGTCCCCAGTTGTTTGGTCAAATAGTAGTCTAGATGTTACGGTGAAGGTGTTTTGTAGATGTGATTAATTCACAATTGGATGACTTTAAAAAAGATGACCCTTGATGATGTGGGTGGGCCTCACCCAATCAGTTGAAGGCCTTAAGAATAAAAACTGAAGTTTCCCAGAGAATACGGAATTTTGCCACAAGGCTGGAACACAGAAGTCCTGCCTCAGCTTTCAGCCTGCCAGCCCACCCTACAAACTTCAGACTGAAGACTTAAACCTCAATATATAAATTAAAAGCACCTGGTTACACTGTCAAAATTAAAAGCTGAATTAAACCAAAGGAGAAGGAGGAGTACTTTCATATATATTCTGTATATACATATAACTAATTTATATATTATATATACACAAGTGAATATACGTATGTGTATGGTACCTACGTGTGTGTTCGTAAAACGTATGTAAGTGAGACATAAACTTTAGAGGAAATAGAAGTGATTAATCAGTAACATCCAAGTGTACATAGGAAGCATGTGACTTGAGGCAAGTGTGAGTCATAAGAGAGCTTGGAGACTGCCAGGCATTTCTGTGGTTGGCAACTTGAGGATCCAGTAACAGCTCAAAATATGTCCCTTGCAAATATGAACAATGAACAAACAAACAGTGGGACTTGCTTTGTATACCTTAGGTTTTGCAGGTGAGGTCCTGGGCCAGGGGGGTGCTGCTGCGGAGGAGATGGTGTAGCAGGGGGCGGAGCACTAAAGAAGGCACGGAAGCCTGGTGCTGGCGGAAGCATCTGCCCAACTCGCCCCTGCAGCAACTTGGGATTCATGGCAGCAAGCGGGCTACCAACAAATCCAGGGACCCGTGCAAATTGGCTGGGAGACATCCGTCCAGGCTGCAGCTACACAGAGCAACAAAATCTTAGATTTAGTTAACCAGCAAGTCCCCTTGCTCTTTTCCACAGAGAAGTTAAAACTGTTTCCATCAATAATTTTGTTTGGAAAAGTAAAGGAAAAAATACGAGGCAGTAGTGGTTGATCAAAGAGCAAAGAAAAGGCTATTTAGCAAACCTTGGAAAGTAAGAGAGCTCTTTATGGGTCAGGCTAATCACAGGCTTACCTGTGCTCCTCCAAGAAGCTGTGCTCTCTGGAGGGGGCTGAGAACAGGAGGAACGCTAGGAGGAAAGGGGTGACCCAGGAGAGAAGAATTCTAGGAAAAAAAAAAAAAAAGAAAAAACTATCCTCATACTATGAAACAGGTAAATCAATGTAATAAGGGAACTCAGAAGAAGTGCAGAACAAACTTGGATATAAAAACCCTTAAATCGTACAGTCAAGCTGTCCACTGAAGAAATATAAAAAATTATGAAATTGTGAAATACTACGATAATGTAACATGAAACAGAAAGCAGGAGGATGAGGGGCAGAGAAGCAGGAAACCAGATGACCACACTGAGTTTAGATTTTTTTAAAGATAAGAATCGAGGTAAGAAACAACTGAACATGATAAACCATGTCTCTGCGCTGGGGACCAGAAGATCCAGAAATTCAAGAATGAAATAGAGAGAGAAAAAATGTGTAATTTAGGAGATGTCAATATCTAGTATAGTGGTCACACAGGTAGTGATCAGAGAATATAGACTGCACATTGTCATCAGGCCGTAGAGTGACATACCGGGACATTGCAGAGCTGGTTTGGAGACATCCTCTCACCATAGGGAGCAGGATACCGTGGTGGCATTGGGGGCCGAACATGGACAGGCTTCGGACACAGAATCTATCAGGACAAACATACGTACAACTACACTCAGTGAGGTCAGTTTTTCCTCCACCTACAGTCCCTCCCCTCGAGTACTGGCAGAGACACAGAACTCAATGCAAAGCCCTACTTCTAAGCAAATTGCTATGGCTATGGGCTCACATACAGAACCTCTGGTCACTTCCTCTTGCGTGTGCCACTTTTTACTGAGGAAGATTTAGCTAATTCTCCAGTTATCCCCACCCTTCCATGCTATCTGAGGGAGGTACCAGCAGATATTCGGACTTGCAAATTCTCTCCAAGAGGATATATTTTGGTAGCAGTGAGGGAGAAGGAATGATAAGAAAGCTGGAGGATTAACTAAGTCCTATTCAGAAGCCCCTGTGATATGGCCGCCATGCTCAGCTCTTGTGTGATACATTGTGACTCCACCATTTCATAGGCTACTGAGCCTAACTAGGCCATACCAACACCACCCTCCCCCCATACCTTCCAAATTGGCCTTCCTTTTCAGCTGCTGGTTTCAGGTGGAGGAAAGTCTATGGAACAGGACTGCACAGGCTCTAGGGAAAGCAGGGATATCTTAAAGGTAAAAAGGGATGTGGACAATGCTGTGTGTTCCCACTCCCCCCAGCTTTCAGTTACCTCTCTGCCAATGTTTTGGGCAGCCAGCAAAACACTTTTAAAAGGATATATACACTAAATGTGCTTAACTACCCTTTTTTCCCCCAGTTAAAAAGCAGCAGCAACAGGAGCAGCACCAGCAAAGGGCATTAGGGAATGTGTCTCTTATTGGCACTCACTTCTCCTCTACTTGGCTATTTTTCTTTCTAATCTAACGCCTACCCAAACTTCCACCCTCCTCCCAGCATTCCCAATTTCCCAAATAATTTTGCCCAGATTCCCAATTTCCTGGGCTGAGTGCCTGTTAATGAGAAGTACCTGCTGGTTGAAGCTGGGGACAGCCATCTGCTTAGGTGGGGTGCCTATGGGGACAGCTCTAACAGGAGGACTCCCGATGACAGGTGAAGTGGACCGCCGTGGTAATGCACGCTCAGAAAGGTCCCGATCATCTTCTGGGCCTTGAGGGGGCCTCGGAGGCAAGGCATATTCTAATACAGATACCGCAGGCATTTCCTAGTTGAGGAAATAGTAAACAAATTAGCTGACTTGAAATGTTTTAATAATCTCTACAGAGGCCAAAAATATCTCGAGAAATTATTTTTTTTTTAATTTATTTTTATTTCATATCCAGTAAAATCTGCCCTGTACAGTTCTCCGAATTTTAATAAATGCAGGGTCGTGGGTCTACCTCCACAATCAAGATACAGAGCGTTTTATCACTCCCCAGCCTTCCTTCGTATTGTCCCTTCGTAGTCCACCTCTCTCTCTAACCACCAGCAAACACTGATCTTGTTCCCCATCCTTACAGTTTTGCCTAGAAATGACTTTGGAAGTAATTCCAATCCTAAGCTGAAAAATCTGAGTTCCAATGGCTTCCTTTTAACTGTCTCAAAGTAAAGCACAGTCAAGTGAGCACTGGCAGCGAGGCCGGCAGGGTACAGTCAACCAGTACACTGCGCACGGGGCAGGTAATCAACGTGAGGCTGGCAAGTGCTATCCAGCTGTGTTTCTGTAAGGAAAGAATGACAACGGAGCCAACCTGAAATTTCCACACATTAGGAATTGTATATAAAACGTCTGATACCTGAGCAAGCAGTGGTCCTCGGATTCGCCTCAGAACTTCAGATCCATCCCAGATGCTGGAATTGAGACTTCCTGGTTGGGACTAACAAAAAAGGAAAACTCATACAAAGTCTGGAATACTGTGGGCTCTCTGTGAGACTTACGTGCTTTTAAAAGGTGAGCAAGGCTCCATAAGAGCCTCAACTGCTTAAGAATAAGAAATTATAGTGTTCTAGACTATACATTACTCCCCAACTTCATCTCTGGAACTGCTATCAGAAATTATATTAACAATTTTCTACGGCACATGCAATTTGGTACACTTATGTATTGTTACTGATAGCAGATGAAATAAAATGGCAAAGCTCACTACTTCACTTTACTTATTAGTTTGCATTGGTGCCCAAAGCAGAGTAATTTACTCACTTGCACAATTGGCCTGGTCTGCACTGCCCTCATGATAGCTGGATCTTCTAGTTCGTTTTCGATCACCATCTTACTCAGCCTTTCTGCCAGGTTCTCCTCATGGTCGCCCAGCAAGTCCATCTCATCCCTTTCTCCATTGCCTGTTTGTTCGTTGACTGTCACCGGTAGCTTGTCTTCCAATTCAGCCAGTCGCTCATGTGCTTCCTGCCAATCATCATCTATAAGGAAACCATAAAAAAGAAATAATAGTTCATATTGGAACTAAAAAGTTTTATAAAATTCTTGTTAGCCAAGTGAACAATTCCAACTCCAGAAGATAGGTGGAATGTTCAATTTCCACTTAGAGACATGAAATAAGGTTTAAATTAAAGTGGGCTTTTCATTATTAACAACAAACAACATCATACCAGGAGTAAAATTCAAGCATTTAGAGTAATGGCTTAATATATTATCAATGGTGTCCAAACTATATTCTAAAACTGATTTGTAAACTGTTTGCTTTGAATTTCTATGACATTTCAGGCAAAGGCTTTAAAGTTAAAGCTCACTGCACTAACATACAACTCTCTCTTAGATTAAAACTGCCATCTTCTTTAAAGCTCATGAATCCATTCATTTCAGTTAATATTTATTGAGCATCTATTGTGTGACAAGCACTGTTTTAGGCGCATAGGATACATGAGTGTACAAAACAGGCAAGGATCCCTGCCCTCCTGCAGCTTTCCTTCAAGCAGGGAAGAGACAGATAATACACAATAAACATAATGAATGATTAGATACTGTATTTGAAGATGAAATGCTACAGGAATATGGAGGAAGAGAGGCAGGCTGAACATTTTAAATAAGATGGTCACCTATTTCATTGCGAGGGTGACATTTGAGCAAAAGATTCAAGAATAAGATAGTTAGCCACGTTCCAGGCAGTCAGTATAAAGGCCTTACGATGAAAGGCTGACAATCTGGAGAAACAGAAAGGACCGTGTTTAGGTTGGACGGATCAAGGGAGGAGAGGAAAAGAAAGTGAGGTCAAAGAGGTAGCAGGAGGCAGCTCCTTCTGAGCCTCTTGGGATGACACTGATTGAAATGAGGGGTCACTGGAGGCTTTGACGTGGCCTGACTTTTTGAGAGAATCACTCTGGCTGCTGTGCTGAAAACAGATTGGGGTGGGGAGGGCAGAAATACTGGAGAGGTATGGAGGCAGCCAGGAGGCTACTGCAGTATGCCAGGGCAAAGGTGATGGGGACTTGCCTTGGGTCAGCTCCTCTCCTATCGTAACTATGTCGCTGCGGCTCCTGCACACTAGTAGTCTGTAGCACTGGCACTAGGTTGCTGGCTCATATTTTTATGCTGACAAAGCATGATTTTTGAGTCCCGCTATAGCACAGGCGAATATCTTCACCAGCTTCTCTAGAACCCGACCTTACTTCCATCAAGTCTCTCATTCCAGTGTTCTTCAATCTCATCATTCCATTCTGCTTCCATCATAAAACCTCTACTCACTATTTTGCTCCTCTCAGCATTCAAATTCAGACACCTTTCCCTCTTCAATGAAGCTTTCCCTAAATAATCTTTTCATTTTAATTCTACCTTTACTTCATCTAAACATGCACTACTTTCTAATCCACAAAAAACCCACGCATTCTTTTGTATGTTATATATTTTATCCTGATTTGTTTTCTTTCGTATGTCCTATAAATTTCAACAGAGCAGCAACAGGTGATTCCCTTCATAACTAACATAGAAACACAGAATTCTCAAAAAGTGTCCTTAATGACAATCTTCCCCATATAAATTTCCCAGATACCTCATTAGAAGAAAGGAGAAGGAAGAACTGGGGGTACCATGACAAGAAAAAAAAAAGCCTGGTATATACTAAGGGTATAATAAATGGTAACACTTAAAAAAAAATACATGTTACATCACACAAATATGTAACTTAGAAGAAAGTGAGTTTCCCATAACTCCTCAGGTATGTAAAATTTTTTAAATTGCAAACTATCAAGTTTAACTTGTTTCTTTAAATAACTTTTTTACTTAAGCAATACCTTGGACATCATTTCATGCATGCACACACACATAACTACTGAGAATATCTCATTTTAAAAAATATCTATATAACATTCTATTCTATTGATAAAATAAAACTAATTTAACTTATCCCATACTGATGGACATTTAGATTATTATAAACTTCCAAATTTGTAATTTGGTATGTTCAGAACCACTGTCTCGTCTTTGGACACTATGGTAGATTTGAATGTATTACTTGTGGTAAAGGAAAAATTCTACCTTAGATGAAAATTATAATGTTAATTTAAATAATCAGTTATCTGAAAAAAAATTCTTAAAGAACACTGTAATTAAAAATCAAGTGTTACATTAACATTTGTGTCATGTTTGCTAAGGAACAGTAAACTGAGAAAGTTTTTAAAGGACAAACTGTTTTTTGTACTTTTACTAACTCACCAATACCAAAAAATGGGAGTCTATAACCCTGAGTAAGAAATGTTTTTATACTTATGTTCCAAATTTAAGAATTTGTTAATGGATTGAGTCTAATGCAGTAGAGTTCTAATTTGCGTTGTTTTCATTCACCACTTCCCATGCACATCTTTACTTAAACTTTACCAGATCCTACCAAAGATCAACAGTCTATTTGTCC